CAACTCGCGCCCGCGCGCGCGCGTGGGCGCGTTGTGCGCTGAGCCACTTGGCTGACATGCTGGAAGACACCGCAAAGGGGCCACTTCAGTTTGCAGGCCAACATGGCGGCCCTTCTACTGCGGGTGGTGCGAACAAATTCATAACTCGCGCGCGCGCGCGGGCGCGCGCGCGAGGCGCCTTGTGCGCCGGGCAACTTGGCCGACATGCTGCAAACCCATGTTAAACATGGAAAATACCATCGGCCACCGCTAAGGGCCACTTGGGTTCACACACCAACGTAGCGGCATTTGTATTGCGGAGAAAACAGGGTTCACAGCTCGCGCCTGCGCGCACAGGCGTGGGCGCTTTGTACGCTGCACAACTTAATCGGCATGCTACGACCTTTTGCTAACTTGGAAATCTGTCGGTTACTGCTAAGGGGTCACTTAAGTTTCTAAGCAAACATGGCGGCCATTCTATTGTTGGTGATACAGAATTCACAGCTCGCGCGCGCGCGAGCGCAAGCGGGCGCGCGCGCGCGCGGGCCCGTTGTACGCTGAACCGCTTAACCAAAATGCTACAAACTCGAGCTAACTCGCATATTCAATCGGTCACCGCTAATGGGCTGCTTGGTTCCCCAGGCCAGCATGGCGGCCCTGCTATTGCGGGTAGAACTCACAGCTCGCGCGCGCGCGCGTGGACGCACTGTGCGCTGAGGCACTTGGCCGACATGCTAGAAGCCCATGTGAAATTGGAAAAAGAAATCGGTCACCGCTAAGGGGCTGCTTGAACTCCCAAGCCACCATGGCGGCCCTTCTGTTCTGGATAATTCAGAGCGGCGGCTCGCTCCCGCGTGTGCGGGCGCCCTGTGCGCTGAACCACTTGGCCGACATGCTGCATCCCCAATCGGTCACCGCTGAGGGGCCACTTTAGTTCCCAGGACAGAACGACTGCCCTTCTTCTGTGGATAACACAGAATGCACAGCTCGCGCCCGCGCGCGCGCGCGTGGGCGCGTTGCGCGCTGAGCCACTTCACCGACATGCTACGAACCCATTGTAAATCGGAAATCCAATCCAATCGGTCTCCGCTAGGGGACCACTTGAGCTTCCATGCCAACATTGCGGCCCTTCAATTGTGGATGGCGCAGAATTCGCAGCTCGCGCCGGCGCGCGCGCGCGCGTGGGCGCGTTGTGCGATGAGCTACTTGGCTGGCGTGCTGCTGCCCCGCGCTACCTGGAACATCCATTCGGTCACCGCCCAAGAACCCCTTCGTTTCCAAGCCCCTTCGTTTCCAGACCGCTGAGGACAATGCAGAATTCACACCTCGCGCGCACGCGCGTGGGCGCGTTGTGCGCCCCCCCTCCTCCTCCCCCTCATCCTCCTCCTCCCCCTCCCCCTCCTCCCCAAAGCTTGCGCAGTCAATGTCATCATACTTCTGCTCGCCCCCCTCCTGCCGCTCCCGTCGCTCCTCCCTTCTTCCTTTTAGTCCTCGTCCTCCTCGTGTTCTTCCCCCACCTCCCCCTCCCCCGCCCCCTCATCATTCTTCTGCGCCCTGCCTCTTTCGGCAAGGGCAGGGGATGTGCATTCACTCCCGGGCGTGCCCAGGCTGACCCACGAAATTCAACTTGACGGCTTCCTCATCACTTTCTCTTCGTTACACGGAATGCTCCCGCACTTCCCTGATCAAAACATTTCGCCTGGGCACTGTTGCTGGGCGGGCCGTGATGGATGCGAACAATAACAAAACCAGCTACGCGATCAACCGCGAATGTAACAACACACGCAACTCCCCACAAGCATGTTTCGCACGTGGCGTTCATCGTGCAACAACACTTCCAGAGCGGCGAAAGAGGCGAAGCCTTTCCACCATAAAACCAAGATTTCTGAATTCAAGCACACACAGCCCTTCAAGGCAAAAACAACAACAAACCATAATTTTGGATTTTCCAAACCATGCCTTCGGACAAAAACGCAATTTGGAATAACTGTTTAGTTGCGCCCCCTGGCCTGGCTGTTAGCGTTTTGGGGTGGCCCCCCCTTCCTGTAGACGGCCCCCTCACTAAGGCATGTCCTCATGCAGGCGGATTTTGGACGAATATCTATTTGCGAGAAATCAGAAAAGGAAATTCAGAAAATGCTCAAAAAAACATCGTGCCCTTTTTCATTCTGGACTATTTATGAACAATTTCCCTGTAGAGGGACACGCCCGACTTAGCGCTTCCGCGAAGGATGAAAGAGAGGGACTTCGTTCGTGTTGTTCCTATCGCACTTAAGGACTACATCCCAACAACAACTTCGAGCACCCGGAAAATTGTAAAAAGAGTGTCAGGCGAACGCATCTCAGGGCCCGACACGTGACAACCCTGGAGTTCCGGTACTTGTTTGGTGCTCGAAATTCTTCCTGGTGCTCAAGGCTAAAGTAGGTTGGAACATCGTGAGAGTTGGGGGCAAGGGTGGGGGGGGGGGGGGGCATTTACTGCCTCGGCCACTCCTGCGGGCGCCGCGCGTCGCGCGAAGACCTACGGGCCCTGCGCGCCGCCGCGAGCCGCGCCCGCAGCCCGGGCGTCGCAGACTGCATCGGCGCCTGCAGCCAGCAAGCCGCCCCGCCCAGCGCCGCGGGCCCTGAGATCCGACGCCCCCCAAAAAAGTGAGCAGGGTGCTCTTGACAACTGTCGGCCTCCGGGGGGCCTCTCGCCAGGCCTCGGCAGGAGCGTCAAAAAACGACTCATGGCGAAAAACGGGCCCCAGAGAAGTGGCCCGGACCTCTGGGGCCCACGCGCCGAACAAATTGGAGCAGCCAGATGTCTGGGGAGTGAGCTGGGCGGGGCGGCCAATGGGCGCCGAGCTTTTGGGGCCCGCGCATCCGCGAAGAAAGCGCGGCGGGAGGCGGCGCCGCGGGCCGCGGCGGCGACGCCCCCGCGGCGTTGGCTGGCCGTGCCCTCGGCGCGCACATCGGCGCGGCTGTCGCGCCGCGCGCGCCGGATGCGCTTCAAGGCGCGCCGCGGCCTGCGACGTTCGTAGTCGCGATCGGGCCGAGGTTGTCGACCATCAGGCCGGTGGCCGCGCGGCCTCCGCAAGGCACCTGGTCGAGGGCCGCTCCGCGACCCTCCGCGCGCGCGACGCGGCGGCTGGCTGCGCGTTGCTGACCGAACATCTTGGCTCACCGCTGGCGCTGGCCCACCTGGCGGGGCCTCTGGCCCCGAACCAGGCGCCGTCGGCTCCGCCTTCGAAGGGGCAGCCGCGCCGGGCCAGCCAGCCCGCTCAGGAAGCACGGCTTCGACGAAGCCCGCCACGTGGCCCAGGGTCCCCGCGATCCGCGCCGCCTGCTCGGGCGGCGCCTGGTCGACGCGCCGCGGGGACTCAGTGGCGCCGATCGCGGCCCACTCCTCGACCCAGGTATCAGCGCGCCTGTTCGCAGCCAGGATGCGCTGCGCGGCGGAAGCGAGGGCCCTGGCTGGCGCCCGCCTCCGCCACTTACTTTGTCCCCGCAGAAGGTTACTCCGTCGGGCGCGAGCCCAGTCTCGCCAATGCTGCGCCGCGGGGGCAGCCGTGCATCGACGTTGGGGCGTCGGGGGCATGTGCTCCACCAGTGTCCGGCGTCGATCCCCTTCAAGATGAAATCGCGCAATCTTCGTGAGGCCTGGAGGGGGGCGCGCGGGCCGGGAGCCCAAAGGGGGCGGCAAACAGTTCGGCGCGAGCAATGCGGCGCTGCGCCGGCAGGTCGTCTGGCAGCGGGCCCCAAGCTATCACTGCCACGTCGAGGCTGTCATCAGCCAACTGCGCGGCGGCCGCTCCAGTAGGGCCAAAGTCCAGCCACGACCCAATCTGGCTGCCGTTGGACGCGACATCGCCTGTGAACGTGGCCGCAGCGCTGGCACCCAGCAACCATCGGGCGTCCTCCTCCTGCGCTCGGACCGCATTGCGCTGCGCTGGTTCCGGCGCCAGCTCGCGATCCCACAACCAGTGTTTTTACGAAGCGATCTGGTGCTGCCAGGTGGCTGGGAGGGTCTGGCGTTCGTGCTGGAGGCAGCTGCAAGTGCCAACGCGGTGCCGGGTCTTCCACGACCTCCACGCCCTGCGCGAGGCACTACAAGCAGTAAGGATTGTCGGCCGCGCCTCGCTGAAAGGCTCGCGCCTGGGTCCAGAGGCCCCCTGCCACTGCCTTGGCGGTCGCGGCCAGCCCAGGCCCCCACTTGCAGCGACGGAGCCAGCGCTGCACTGGCTCAAGCAGGGGCACGAATGTTAAGGTGCTCTGCTCGGCGTCAGCTTGAGACCCGCGCTGCCACGTGCGCGCTTCAGCGTCGAGTGTGGCCATGGCGGCGATGCCCGCTGGGCATGTCCGCGGGGTGTCAAGGTGCAGCCCTTCCGTGGTGGTGCAGGTGTGCCACGCTGGCCACGTCAAGCCAAACCCTCTGGCTTCCATCTCGCAAGGGCCTGCTGGGCCGTCCACGGCCTGGCAGCGGTGGCGTAGACCGAAGAAGGCCAACTGGCGCTTCCACGCGGCCTGCAACATTCTCCGGCTCGACCAGGTCGTCCCGCGACATGCTCGACCAGGCGACGATTGGTGCTGCAATGCTCTCGGGGGCCAGGTCTTCCAACCAGCAGGCAAGACACAGTAGGGCGTCCTTCCCCTGATGCCTCCCTGGAAGTCCCAAGCTCACCAAACGGCGCAAGGACCTTGCCGATACGAACGTTCATCTTGGCGAACCAGCTGGCGCGGACACCGCGGCCCACCGCGCGGGCGCAACCCGCATATCGACGCTCAGATTCGTGAATCTGGCCTCGACGGCATTCAGGAGGCCTGCCGGGAGAGGACGCAAGAGGGAAGGAGGAGAGGGGGAAGGAGAAAAGCAGACGCCTCCCTTGCAGCCAGCCGCAGCCTTCCTGCTCAGCTGCTGCTGCCCCTGCCGTTCCGTCTGTTCCTTCCCTTCCACGTTGATGTCGTCCTCCTCCTTTTCCGTCTCCTTCTCCTCTTCCTTCTCCTTTTCCTTTTCCTCCTCCTCCTCCTCCTCCTGCCGCCTCTGGTCAGCCCCAGCAAGTCCAACGGATCGTTGGCAGGCCCCGTCCAGCCTGTCGGCGAGCTCGGGCGCTCCGCCTCCCCCTCCCCCTGCTTCTCCTCCTCCTCCGTCTCCCCCTCCTCCTCCGCCTCCTCCTGCTCCGCCCCCTCCTCCTCCCATTACTCCTCCTCCCTTCATCTCCTTCTTTTCCCCCTCGTAATCTCCCTCTTTCCCAACTCCTCCTCCACCTCCACCTGGACTTACGCATCCACTTCCACCTACCGCGCCCCGTGTACCTCAGTATCCATCTCATTTCCCTGCCCACCTCAGCCATCTCCACATTTAGATCCTCCACCTCGAACCTGGAAGTTTGATCCTCCTCCTCCTCCTCCTCCTCCTCCTCCTCCTCCTCCTCCTCCGTCTCCTCCTCCTCCTCCTCCTCCTCCTCCTCCTCCTCCTCCTCCTCCTCCTCCTCCTCCTCCTCCTCCTCATCATCATCATCATCATCATCAGCATTATTATCCTCATCCTCACTCTCGTCATCAAACACATCATCACCATCATTATAATCACACACACCATCATCATAATCCTCATCAACACCAGCATCACCATCACGCTCATCATCACCAACATCATCATCACCACCACCGCCATCATCGTCATCATCATCAGCAGCATCATCATCAGTAGCATCATCATCATCATCATCATCGTCATCATCATCATAATCATCATCATTGCCACTCTCATCAGCATCATCATCAACAACATCATCACCATCATCAATATCGTCATCACCACCATCACCATCACCATCACCATCAACATCATCACCATCATCACCCATAATCAGCATCCGCATCAGCATCCGCATCAGCTTCACCATCAACACATCAACATCAGCATCAACATCATCATCAGCATCATCGTCAACATCATCACCATCAGCATCAACATCATCACCATCATCAATATCAACATCAACTTCAACACCACCATCGACATCACCATCACCATCAACATCAACATCAACATCAGCATCAACATCACCGTCAACAGCATCACCACGAACATCATCATCATCATCATCATCATTAGCATCAGCAGCAACATCCTCATCCCCGTCCTCAGCATCATCATCATTATCATTCTAATCATCGCCATCATCATCACCATCACCATCATCCCGGGCACACCTCGCACCTCGATCCTGGATCTGCCTCCTCTTCCTCCTCCACCCCACCCCGATCCTCGACCTCCCTGGATTCTCGACCTCATCTGGGGCTTTGCTGTGCTCCTGCTCATTGACATTTGTCGCGTGTGCGGAGCTACGCTGTCAATGCCGCGCTTCTCTGTGGCTTTGCTGTGCTCCGGCTCGCCGGCTCGCAACGCACACCGCCAGAGGCGGCGGAGAGCTTGAGAGATCCACCGAGCAACAGTGCCCTCCCTGAATTCTCGATCCTCGATGCTCGCTCCTCCTGCTGCTCCTCGGCTCCTCCGTGCGCCTGGCCCGCCCGCACCTCCCCGGCGTGCCCCGCGCCGGGGGGCGACCCCCGCGCGCCCCGCCGCCTCCCAGCAGGGGCACGGCGGTGCCGACGGCGCTGCCGGCGCTGAGGGCACCTGTCTGTCGGGGGGGAACGAGAAGGGGGGGGATAGCCGAGGGGGGGAACGAAACCTCCGCCCTTCGCTTCTCGAGGCGCTGGAGGGAGTCTGGGCCCCTCCCCCCGGATCCCACGGCCCTGCCCCCCTCCCTCGGGGGGAACGAGGAGGGGGGGCAGCACAAAGGGCAGGGTGGAGAATCAGCTCACGGAGTTGATTTTCCAAGCGCCTCCTGGCTCGGGGGTCCGAGATGGGGCGGGGAGCTCGCGTCGCATCGCCGATGCCTCGGCGACGTCGGCGTGGAAAGAATATCGGGCCAGATCGACAAAATTTTATGTTTGTGGCGTTTTCTCTCCGTCGAATCTGTGAGGGCGTGGGAATGTCGGGGGAACGAAAGAGGGGGATAGCAAAGGGCAGGGTAGAGAATCAGCTCACGTCGCTGATTTTCCAAGCGCCTCCTGGCGCGGGGCGGCGCCCATGTATCGAGGAATGGGCCCAGCGGGGCCGAAACCAGCTGCATGCAGCAGATTTCGCACCCGCCCCCCTTTCCCCCTCCTCCCCCTCCCCCTCCCCCTCCTCTCCCTCCTCCTCCTCCTCCTCCTCCTCCTCCTCCTCCTCCTCCTCCTCCTCCTCCCCATTTCGCTCGGCCCGAACCTGCGCCCAGGGGCTGCGAAAGGTGCCCCTGGCCCCCTCGTGGCGGCGAGCGGGGGGAAGTGAGAAGGAGAAGGCCTCCTCAGAAGGCGGCGGGACTTCTCGGAAGCCCTCGCACCCTGCGAGGAGTGCTCAGCGTCCTCGGGGAAGGAACAGGAAACGTCTCCGAAGGCCAGGGGACTTCCGAGCCTCCTGAGAAGGCCTTCCCCTTCTCACTTCCTCCCTCGCTCGCCGCCGATCCTACATTTAGGTCGGGCATGTCCTCCTACAGGCGGATGTTGGACGACAAAGAAAATTACGCTACCGAGGACCCCCACATACTTATATTGCAGTTGGAGTGATGATAGCTGAAGTGAAACATGTGAGAATGATGTTGATGGACGTTCCCTGCGCACCACCTATGGTGTCGACAAAGTGCCACGCCTGCTGCGCCCTGGACGACCGGCTCGGAGAGCGGCCGCGCTCAGAGACCACCACCTGCGGACCCACTAAGGTTACGAGAATATGCCACGCCTGCTACGCCCTGGACGACCGTCACGGATAGCGGACACCCTATGGTGTCGAGAAAATGCCATGCTTGCTGCGCCCTGGATGACAGCCACGGATAGCGGCCGCGCTCAGAAACCACGACGTGCAACCCCTCGTATGGCGTCAAGAGTCTGCCATACCTGCTGTGCCTTGGACGACCCTCTCGGATAGCGGCCGCGCTTCGAGACCACGCCCTGCGCCCCCTATATGGTGTCGAGAAAAAGTCGCGCCTGCTATGCTATGGACGACCAGCTCGGGTAGCGGCCTCGCTCAGAAACCATCCCCTGCGCACCCCGTATGGCGTCGAGCATGTGCCATGCCTGCGATGCCCTGGACGACCGTCACGGATAGCGGCCGCACTCGGACACCACCCCCTGCGAACCCCCTTATGGTGTCGAGAATATGCCATGCCTGCTGTGCCCTGGACGACCGTCACGGATAGAGGCCGCGCTGAGAGACCACCCCCTGCGCACCTCCGTGATGTCGAGAATGTGCCATGCCCGCAATGCCCTGGACGACCGTCACGGATACCCGCCGCACTCGGGAACCACCCCCTGCGCACCCCCAATCGTGTCGAGAATATGCCATGCATGCTGTGCCCTGGACGAATGTCACAGATAGCGGCCGCGGTGAGAAACCACCCCCTGCGCATCCGCTATGGTGTCGAGAATATGCCATGCCTGCTGTGCCCTGGACGACCGTCACGGATAGCGGTCGCCCTCAGAGACCACTTTCGCACCCCCTCTGGTGTCGAGAAAGTGCAACCACGCCTGCCACGCTCTCCGACCCTGGCACGCATAGAGGTCGCGCTGAGAGACCACCCCCTGCGCAACCCCTCTGGTGTCGAGGAAGTGCCACGCCTGCCACGCTCTCCGACCCCGGCACGCATAGAGGCCGCGGTGAGAGACCACCCCCGCGCACCCCCTCTGGTGTCGAGAAAGTGCCACGTGTCCAGAACAACGGCGGCGGCGCCGGAGACTCATGCGGTCTGTGGAGCGAACAAGCGACCACCTCTGCGGACGAATCGCCCGCAGAAAAAGGTCGTCCGGGACGACCCGTCTGGGACGACCAAGACGGCCTGGCTCAGACGACCGTCTAGCCCCTGCGAAGACCAGGTTAAGGAGGGAGGCTATGTCATCAGTGACGAGGTACGCATGGGTACCAAAAAATGCATCGGAGGCGGCAATATCGAGAGTCGTCTGGGGCTCGTCTGGTCCACTCGCAGGCGGCGGGAGTGGCAGTCCTTCGCCAGCACGCTAGGAGAACATCGGGCTGCCAGCACGCTGGAATGCGTCTGGCGCTCGCAGAAGTGACAATGAAGGAATGCGGAGGAGGAGGAGGAGGAAGAGGACAAGGTAAAGGACGAGTAGGAGGAGGAGGAGGAAGAGAAGGAAGATCTTCGAGATACTGCATCTTGTATTTGATCGCCCTGTTCAGGCCCTCAGAGATGATGTCCGTCGCCGCGGCTGGGCTCTCCTCAGACTTTCGGCCAGACCGAACCCCATTACACGTCTCGAAGTCGACTTCTGACGGAGGAGGAAGGGCGGAGGACGGAGGAGGGACGACAGGAAGCAGGAATGATGGACAGAGGACGGAAGGGTGGAGGAGAGAGTGATGGAGGGAGAATGGAGATGACGAACTGGAGGAGGAGGAGGAGGAGGGGCCGGAGGAGGAGGAGGGGCAGGAGGAGGAGGAGGAGGAGGACATTTACAATATTAGCAACACGAGGTGGTTGGTATAAACGACGAGGAGGGCATTGGCGAAGACAGGGGAATGGGGGGGGAATGCGAGGAGGCGGATGAGGATGGGTAGAAAGGGGGAAAGGAAAAGTGGGAGGAGGAGGAGAAGAGGGAGGAGCAGGAAGAGGAGGAAGAGGAGGAGGAGGAGCAGGAGGCGAATGTGGACGACGACGGCGACGGAAGAGGGGGAAAGCAGCGAGGGATCATTACCAAGAAGGAAGCGGGCCCTGCAGGACCAGGAGGCAGGGATGGGTGGGGTATTGCTAGAAGTGCCCTTGGCCCAAGGTGCCCCAAGGATTTCGAAAGAGGCCCCTACGGCCTCCAGAGCACCCCTCACGAGGCTCAGAAGGCCCCAGGGGCTTCAGAATCGAGCGAAAAGCTGAGGGTACCTTGGGCCAGGGGCACTTCTAGCAACACCCGGAGAGATGGGATGCCCCAAACCTGGGGGCCGGAACTGGCCGAAAACTCTCCGGCCCGCGTCCCGCACGACCAGTTTCCTCTTCGCGAGAAGAAGCCGGGAATAGAAGAAGAAACAACGCCGTAAGCAGAAACTTTTGGCGCTCTGCGCGGATTTCTTGGATCTGCGCTGGGCCCCCCAGCGGCGCCTCCGGCGCCGCCCCCGGCGCGCTGGGGCGTGCCCACCGCAGATCCAAGAAATCCGCGCAGAGCGCCAAAGTTCATGTTTAAGGCGTTTCTTCTTCTTCTTCTGCTTCTTCTTTGATCTTCATCGCTTGGGCGCCAGAGTTATCCGGGGTAACTTGGGCCCTGGGCAACTCAGGTTCGGATTCCCGACAAACGAACCTGAGTTAGCCCTGACCCGAGTTGTTTCCCCCTGATGCTTCGGGGCCCTGAAGCGCCTCGCGAGAGAAGCCGAGGCGGGAGAGGACGAGCGCAGCCCGATGTCGCCTGTGCAGCCGCCGGCTTCCAGGCCAGCCAGGTAGTCTTGGTCTTGCTGCGCGTGGGCGGGCGCGCCGCCTCGTGGTGGGTCGGGTCAGGGGGCGGAGGGCGGGTGAGTGTGAAACAGGGGAGGCAGGGGGGGGAGAGGGGAGCGGGTGGTCGGGGATGGACAGAACCCCTTTGAGCAAAACGTGTTCTCGTGAAGACGAGCTCGGGCCCAAGCCTGGCGGGCGCAAGCCTGGAAAATGATGGCCGCGGCGCCCTCTCGAGAACCGAGCACGGGCAATTCACAGATCGACATGTCAGGGTGGGGGTTCTGTCCACCCCCGAGGGTGGTCTGGGGAGGAAGAGGAGCAGCATCAGAAGGGGTAGGAGGAGGCAGACGAGCAGCCGGAGCAGGGGGGATCGTATGGAGACCCGGGGGAAGAGACAGCAAAACACAACAAGGGAAACACACGAGGATCCATCCGATGCGCCCCCACCAGCCGTCAGAGACGGGAGCTGGGGTCCAGTTCGATGAAGGGCAAGGGTCAGCCCAGACATATGCGGAGCGCTTGCCGACCCGAGCCCACGAGAACGGCGTTGTGTACGTAGCCTCGATGGACTCTAAAAGCCGTGCGATAGCGGTAAACAGGGGAAGAATGGGGATGGCGATTCCTTTCTTCGGGTGGCGGTGTTGGGGCCTTGTGCGCAAGGCACCTGCCATTCTCAAGAATTTGACGTCCCAGGGTGGTTGTGGGTGGGTTATTCTGAAACGGCTGAGCGCCTAGGCCCAAATAGCCACATACGTCGAGCAAGGAAGAGGGTACACAGGGCGACTTTTCGTTTGTTCTGTCACTTTCTATTGGTCCCCAACTTCCCCCCTCACCGGGGGCAGCCCCAACAACAACTCTGTCAATGTCGCCTTCAAGCGTGGCGCACTTACACCGGGGTTACCTCAAGTCAGGGCATGTCAGAACCAGAGATGCCGAGGATGTCTCAGCCGGAACGGGTCCACGTCTTGGATTCCAGAATTGCGGGAGCGTCTCAAGCGAAACGGGCCAGAGCATCTCAATTCAGGGCACCTCGCAGTATCTCAGGGTTCGGAGGATGTCTCAGGCGAAACGGGCCTGAGTACTTCGCGAACCCCACCTTTGAACCTGGAAGGGTGAGGACGTCTCAAGCGAAACGGGCCAGAGCACCTCAATGCAGGGCACCTGGAAACCTGGGGTCCCGAGCATGTCTCAAGCGAACAACATCATTAAGATGTCTCAGGTGGAACGGGACTAAGCATATCACGTCAGCGCATCTCGGAACCCAAGTTTCCGAGGATGCCTCAACAAGCGAGACGGCCTGAACATCTCGTGAACCGCATCTTCAACCCAGAGTTGCGAGGACGTCTCAGGCCAAACCGTCAGGGCCAAGGATTCCGAGACTGTGTAAGGCGAAACATCGTCGCGGACCACGTCTTGGGAGCCAGAATGGTGAGGCCGTCTCAAGAGAAACAAGCCAAAGCAGCTCCATTCCGGGCATCTCGGTAATGCCCCGTCCATGGTTTCGAGTTCCCTGTTCAAGTTCTTTAGGACCTTCCGGTAATAATGCTTCACTGGGACGAGTGCATTCAACAGCTTTTCGCTCCATGGTCTGAATTTGGTCCTGTCACCTGGGGGCGTATTTAGCTGTTGATTGAACAGCCTTGTAGTCGCTCGCGGGAACATGCTCCGAGGTGCTCGCATAATATTGGATGTTTCTTCACACCCTCAAGTTGTTGAACTGTTCCTCGCAATGCACATTGCGGCTGATAACTGAGATCAGGGATGAGTTGATGTTGTAGCTCATCTGCAAAATTGTGAATGCGTCATCGTTGCCAACAATGCTGGTGCCCCGTGTAACCCTGCTCTGGAATATTTTCTCGCCTTCGCAGTTTGCGTTGAGCGCCATGCTAACATTCGGAGATGGACAGAACCCCCTTCAGTGAAAACGACTTCGGGCGCAAACCTGATGGGCGCATGCCTGCAACATGACGGCCACGGCGCACTCTCGAGAACCGAAAACGGACAATTCACTACTCGACGTGTCAGGGTGGGGGTTGTGTCCACCCCCGAGGCATTCCTGAAACGTCCGTTCCCGCAATTAACTGGAATTGCACAATTCCGCAGATCGGCTCGTGCTCAGGTTGTATCGTGCCTCTCGGACTCGAAGCAACGTGGCCTCGAAAGCCCGGTCGGCTGCGCCAGAGCTCGCTGGTCCCGCTGCGGCTGCCGCTGCGGCCATTGCCGCAAGGGAGCAGCTTCGCGCGGTTAACCACGCGCACTGAAACCAAGGGGTGAACTAAGGGCTCCGCCACCATGAACATGTGATTGGAGCCTTTGTCTTTCCCTGGTGGCGAAGCGAACTTGAGCCAAGCAGCAGTGCCAAACAAGTTTGCATCATAGCACACTTCGGCTTGACTGCTATGCTGCCACGTGTGACTATTCCTCAAGCCTATCTTGCCAACAGAGTCGGAGTGCTATGAACCAACACCGCCGCAACCTCCTCCCTCCTCCTACTCCTCCTCCTCCTCCTCCTCCTCAGCAACTCCTCCTCCTCCTCCTCCTCCTCCTCCCTCCTCCTCCTCCTCCTCCTTCTTCTTCTTCTTGTTCTTCTTCTTCTCCCTCGTCCTCCTCCTCCTCCTCCTGCTCCTCCCCGACGGGGGTCATTTCGAGAATTCAGGTCCGGTGGGACACCCGTCGGCGGACAGACGAAAGACTAGCACAATGGGAAGGCATGGGTGGGAGCCCCTTGGAGCCGCTGCGCCTATCCTTAGGTCGGGCCTGTCCCCCTACAGGCCGATTTTCGAGGAATTCTTAAAACAAGTCAGAAGAAATTCAAAATGGTCACAAAATACAGAAAATCCCCAGACTATCCAATCTTGCATATTCCTCCTGTACAGGGACAGGCCCGACTTAAGCCTACCCCACTCAACGTTGCCCCTGGCTATCAAATCGTAACTCAATTCTCCGGCGGCCGTTCGGGGCGATCCGGGCAACCCGGGGACGCTCTCGGCGACGCGCGGCCGCCAGAAAACATCCCGAGACACGAAAACCGCGGAGAACCCACGAGCGCGTCCGAAAACTTCAAGCCTCGAACCATTTTTCGAACCACCTCCCAGCCAGGATGTCAAGCGTGTCGAAGTGCGCACCTGGCCTGTTCCCCTGGCCTTCCCCTCGTGCCGTCCCAGAAGCTGGCGTGCGCACAGAGGGCGCCGCCTGCGCTGGCGCCGAGGAGCTGCTGAATCGCCTCGCGTCGGCCTCCCTCCTCCATCTTCCCTCATTCCTCTGCCTCCGTCCTCCTCCTTCCTCCCCGCCCATTTTCTTCCTCGCTGATCCCTCCTTTCTATCCTCCCTCCTCCCGCGGATTAGCCGGATTCGCCAGATTTCCCGAATCTCACCAGAAACGGAGCAATGGGGGCGGTCGGCGGGGCCATTGCCTCGTGCGCCGGGGTTCAGGATGACGTGAGTTCCACAGCAACTCCATCAAACCAACACCCCCCAACCATCCCTTGCAACAACAAATACGAAGTGCGCATTGCACCGAGATCTGGATCTGCGCAGACGCCCAGCGATCAATTTGCATCGGTTCTTGGCAGTGACGGCGGGTGTGTCAGCATATCGCTTGCTGTGTGCAAGGCCAACACCCCCAACCATCCCTTGCAGATAAGAATGCGAAACTACTCTGCACCACAATCTGGATCATCCGCGGACGCCCCGCGATCACTTTGCATAGGTCTTTGACAAGGACAGCGGGATGCTGGCATACTGTCTGCTGTGTGCAATGCTGACACACCCAAACCATCCCTTGCAACAAAAAACGTACAATATGTACTTGTCACGGAGATCTGGATCATTCGCGAACGCCCCGCGATCACCTTGCATTGGTTCGGCAAGAACGACGGGGGTGCCGTCATAGTGCCTGCTGTGTGCAATGCCAACACCCAACAGGCATCCCTTGTAAAAAGTATCCCAGTGCGACCCTACCTAGGAGTTGGAGCCCCTAGGAAAGCAGCATTAGTAGTATCAGTAAAGCTAAGCTGAGGCTAAGCAAAAGCTAAGCTAGAGCTAAGCTAAAGCTAAGCTAAATATAAGCTGAAGCTAAGCTAAAGCTAAGCTGAAGCTAAGCTAAAGCTCAGCTAAATCTAAAGCTAAGCTAAAACCAATATGAAGCCACGCAACAGCTAAGCTAACGCTAAGGTAAAGTTAAGCTTAACCTAAGCTAACGCTAAGGTGCAGCTAAGCTACAGCTAAGCTAACGCTAAGCTAAAGCTAAACTAAAGTTAAACGAACGCTAGCATAAAGCTAAGCGACAGCTAAGCTAAAGCTAAAGCTAAAGCTAAGCTAAAGCTAAACTCAAGCTTAGCTAAAGCTAAAGCTAAAACTCCCAAGGGACTGGGGGAACCGCCCGGGGCGCGTAGCACTGCCCGGCCCTTTAAGCCAGAAAGTAAGAACCCTTCTAGGCAGAGCCTAGGTAGGGAACAAAGCGAAGTGCACATTGAACCAACATCTGAATCATGCGCGGACGCCCCGCGATCATTCTGCATTGGTTTTGCCATGGACGGCCGGCATATTGCCTGATGTGTGCAGGCCCACCACCCTTCTACAGGGAGAATGCTGACGTTTCACTTGGCCAGGGAGAGCGGGTCGGCCAGCATACTGCCTGCTGTGTCCAGACCTACTACCCTGCCAACAAAAAAAACACGCGCAACGTGATTGCGGGCGCACGCCCCTACACACTACACGATGCTCGCAGACCCGCCGTCAATTTGCATACGCTTTTGACATGGGTTGTGGGGAAGTTGCCATATTGCTCAACGAGATCCGACACGTGCGGCGCACCCAACGGTCATCGCGCACTTTGCTGGTGTCTGCACGGTCCCCCGATTGTTGTCGATGGCGGCCTCCACCTGTGCTGAGACTCGGGTGATACTTCGTAGTGGGAAGGCGAGTGGAAGTGAGCGGCATGGCTTACGGCGTGGGGTAGCTTGACTATTGATAATCACCCTCTCCCCAAGGTGACCAGCAGCCAACCAGGACCAATGCGGCCCCCCATCCTCCATGTCAAAAAATAATGTGACGTCCACTTTGGGACAACATCTTGGGTCATGATCAGGGGGGCGCGAACAGTTTGTGGTGCTTCCTTGACAAGGACGGCGGGGGTGCCTGCATATTGCCTGCTGTACGCAGGGCCGGCATCCCTATCAACAAAAACAAAGCAAATTGCACTTCGAGGCAAAATCTGGATCATGCGGCGGGGGTGCTGGCATATTGCCTGCTGTGTAGGCCCACCAGACGCTATGATGGCCACCCCGCCGCGATTGCGCACTGGTTTTCGACAAGGGCGGTGGGGGCCGACACGTCTCCCGATGTGTACTGCCACGTGCGCAGGCGCACCTGGCACAGTCTGCGCTTGCCCCCAACGTGGCGCACTTGGCGCGGCTGGAGCATGCGGCACACATGGCGCTCGTGGATCGTGTGGCTCATCTGGCGCACCAGTCGTGCCCGGGATGCTTGGGCCACAGGGGTGCCTGGCGCACCTGGCGCGCCTGGCGCACCTCGCCCCAGCGTTGCGCACATGAGGCCTGTTTTGGTCCCCATTAGCTGCCCATGCAAGGACTGCCGCTGAACACGCTGCGGCTCGTGTGCTACTCATGTGTTGGGAGGGCGGGTGGGAGTGAACGAGACGGCTTGCGGGCGGAGAGGATGCCTTGACCCCTCCCCCTACCCCATCCCCTGGACAAGGACGGGGGGCTGAGAGCGGTTGGAGCGTCCAACAATGCCTGGGCGAGAAGGCGCAAATCATTGATCTGACGTGGTTGTTGACCCTATTTGGGCCTCCTGGCGTGTATGCGTCTGTGTGTCTGTGCCAAATTGAGTGTCCCGATTTTTGGATAGAGCTCATTTAAGATGGCCCCAAAAGTGCCTCCAAGGCTCCCAGGGGTGCCCCAAGAGGCCCCAAGAGGCGCCCCAAATGCCCCAAGAGGCCTCAGAGGTCCCGCGGCTCCCTAAAGACCCCCAAGAGGCAGAGGCTCGCCCGAGGCACCCAAGACGCTCCAAGAGTCCCCATTGGGGCCGCCAAGAGGCCCCCAAGACGCCCCATGGGGACTCCAAGAAGCTCTCAAGAGACATCCGAAGAGACTCCGAGAGGCATCCAAGAGGCCTCTGGCCTCTGGCCTTTCTGCTCGCCCTGCTCCTCCTCCTCCTCCTCCTCCTCCTCCTTGTCCTCGTCCGCCTATTCCTCATCCCCCTCCTCCCTCTTCTCCCCCCTCTCCCCTTGCTCCTCCTCCTCCTCCTTCTCCTCCTCCTCCGATTCCACCTCCATCCTCCCCCTCTTGGGATATGACGGTTTTCCCAGCTCTATATTTCACTGCATGCTCCTCCACGTCCCTGATCAGGGCAACTCGCCTGGGCATCGTTTCTGGATGGGCTGGTGGAGTTATGCGAAGCGTTTAGCAAGGTCGAATCGGATTGCGCATCGGCACGGAGTCGGAGTCCAATCGATTCGGCTATGCCAAGACGCACCACCGCGCCATGAAAAAAAGCATCGGGCCGCATCGGATCGACGGCACGTCCGAATCGAACCAGATCAAACAGGCCGACATCAGCATCGAATGGCATCGATCGGAACAAGCACGACCCTGCCGGCGTGGGGGGGGAGCAGAGCGAGAGCGGCGTGAGACACGCGAGGCGGTGGCAAAGGGCGCGGGCACGCGCTGCAACAGGCCTGGCGAACACACTCACAAATGCTTGGTCCAGCGCACGCCGCCAGGGGAAGCTGAAAACTCAGCGCTCAGCCAGTAGCGCCCACGCCGAGGTTCCTACCTAGCTGTGAGCTCTCGCCGGGAGATAGGAAGTGGCACGCCTCTGCCAGAGGCTGGCAGCATGGTGTCCTGGAGGCGGCAATCACTGACGTGGATGCGCACCGGTGCGCAAGGGGTGGTGCTGGATGCGTGGGGCCACTGCCGTGGTGGTGTGGCCCACTGGATGCGTAGTGTGAGGCCGACGGCGTGGGGTAACCAAGGGCACCGCGCAGCTGGCAGGAAACGGGGATTGGCATGGAACAGAACTCAGTGTGATGGTTCCCTTAGCCATGAGAGTCTCCAGTGGAAACTGCCTGCTCCGAACTTTGACCACATTGGAAAAATATCACACGGCGCGGGGAGAGAGCATCGGGGAGGAGGAGGAGGAGGAGGAGGAGGAGGAGGAGGAGGGGGCAGGAGACGGAGAAGGAGAAGGAGAAGGAGGAGGAGGGGGAGGAGGAGGAGAGAGGAGGAAGAGAGGAGGAGGAGGAGGAAGAGGAGGAGGAGGGGGGGGGGAGGAGGAGGAAGAAGGAGGAGGAGGAGGAGAAGGAGGAGGAGAGGAGGAGAAAAATGGGCCTCCCCAACTGAGCGATGTGGAGGGGCTCCTGGCAGCAGCCGAAACGGCCCCGTGCGCCCTCTTCCTGCCCTTGCGCCCCTCCCCTCTCCTCCCCCGTTTCGTCTCCCCCTGCCCTCCGTCCGTTCCTGCCGCCTCACCCTCCTCCCCCTCCTCATCCTCCTCCTCCTCCTCCACCTCCTCCTCCTCCTCCCCCTCCTCCTCCTCCTCCCCTTCCATCCTCCTCCCCCTCATCCTCCTCCTCCTTCTCCTCCTCATGTCCATCAAAAAGATGGGGACACATCGTCTCGGCTGTATCATCGGGGGGGGACAAGAGTGGGCCGCCATTACCAGAACTCGTAGGACAGCTATGCTCGGCGAGCTGGGGACGCCGACCACGCGGCATAACACGGGGGGTAATGTGCAGCCCCGGTGTGGGGGTGCGTAGTTAGTGTGGAGCTCCGGTCGACCAGAACAAAAGAAGGAACATCTGCTGGGTTGACCCAAAAGGGGGTCCAGCGACAAGGGGGTGGTACAACAAATTCGGTGCAATAGATTTGTGGAGTTGCAATACATTTGGGGTGTGTAATGTATTCCGGGCCGCCAATGTATTACTGGATTTCGCGTGCAATACCTGACTTGCAATACAATGCAATACAATGATCTGTCGCAATGCATTTGCAATGCAATTGCCCCAAATCTAGCCAGCATTGCACCACCCCCTTTCAGCTGGACCCGCTTTGGGGTCCCCCGGAGTCTGCATTAGCACATACATTCCGAGGTCCGCGCGGATGTCTTGGATCTGTGCCGGACCCTCCCCGTCGCGCTCCGCGCGCAAAGGGGGGTTGCCCAGTGCCAATCCAAGAGAGCCGCGCGGACCTCCCAAAGTTGATGCTCCTGCTGTTCTTCTCTTCTTCTTCCTCTTCTTCTTCTTCTTCTTCTTTTTCTTCCTTTTTCTTTTCCTTCAAGAGAAAGAGAGAGAGAGAGAGAGAGAGAGAGAGAAACAGACAACAAGAAACGCATACAACAAAGAGAGGCAGGGGGAGGGAGGAGAATGGAAGGACAGAGAGGAGGGGGAGGGAAAGGAGAGAGGATCACAAGACAGGACAAGGGGGAGGGAGAAGGATGGAAGGGAGGAGGCAGAGGGAACCTTTTCGACTGCTGTCCGAAGCCCCGCGGCCCTGTTGGCAGAAGCGGGGGCGTATCCCCCCAATCTCCTTTGTCCTCCCCATCCCCCGCCCATCTCGTCTAGATTACAGTCGGACCTAGGCACAAAGAACGTCCTTCTGAACAATTACCCTCCGCCAGCCAAAACAAACAGAACATCCAAGGGTACCCTCCCCAGGATGCACAAGAGCATCCAACAAACAAAAAGAACGCTAGAAGATCCTCCTTGAACCGATAGCCATCTTATACGGGGGTGCGACTGTACAAGCTTGAATGAGATGGGGAGGGACACGACACTCACGAGGATAAGGATAAGGATGAGCTGGAGAATGCAGATGTTTGGAAAGCGGATTGGGAGGCAGATGATGGGGAGGAGGGCGGCGGACACCCGAGGACCATGAGGAAGAAGCCATGATAAACATGTGGAGGCAATAAGCCGATGATGAGGGCCGTACTGGAGCAATCTGAGAAGGACAGAAAAAACATAAGGCGTAAAGCCCGCATGCTGAACTTGTGCCAACTTCGGAAAACGAGCAAAATTGTCAGTCATACTACAATTGCGACGATGACGCACACCAGACTGATGCCGAACACTGTGGTACGGTGAGGGTATCAGATGCAAAACGCTTGAAAACGGTAAGAAACAAGGCACCGAACATGACGGAAACGAATCCGCAACAAGGTGACAACACACTACCTCTTATCGAATATGATGACACCACGAATGGACCGTGCAAGCACGAAGAATCGGAAGATGACACGAGGAGGACGAGGAGGGCTAGGAGGAAAAGTAGAGAGGAGGAGGAGGAGGAAAAGGAGGAGGAAGACGAGGAATCCGTAGCCAGTTTGGCTCAAGCTTGCTCAGGGCATCCAAGAGGCGACTGTTGGAGACCTTTGCGTTGGACCTCCAGCAGGCTACTGATGCGAACGACTGCAAACGTCAGTGGCATGTCATGAGAACATTACAGAAGTTTGGGGGACACAAGAAAAACAGCGTTGTGTGGGCTAGGAACAAGACACGACATGGCAGGACAAACAGTTGAGTCACGACAGCAGCTGTCAAGTGCCTTAACTGAGTACTTCGCGAAGCTCGAGATAGGGGACATAATCTCATGGGAGGAGCTTTGCCAAATGTGCAATGACACCAGATGGCCGCCAAATGACTGCAATGGCCTGAGCAATAACATGGTGATCACCAAGGGAGAACTGCTATATATGATAAGAACCCCTGCGGCCAATAAGGCCACTGGGCCTGACAATGTGTCGACGGACCTACTTCGAGTTGCCCCCGAGGAAGCTGCGGATCTGCTCTTGCCCATACTCGCCAAAAATCATGTCAACAGGAAGGAACCACTCGGCTTCAAAGGAGGATGGCAGGTTGACCTTTTCAAGAGTGGCCTGACCGCTCCCATCACGAACTATCGAGGCATCCTGTTGGGAGTGCATGTAGCCAAACTACATCACAGGTTCCTAAGATCCAGACTGGTGCAGGCATCACAGCACCTTTATCACTGAATATCAGATGGGCGGCCTCGCTAAGCGAGGCACAGATATCGCGACACTCATAGTGTACACAGTCGCCAGTGTAGTCAAAGCGCGCAAGGGCACGTTATTGCTACTATTCACCGGTCTTAGATCGGCCTTCTACTCAGTTGTCAAAGCATTCCTCTCTCGGTACGCGCAGTTTACCGATGACCTACAGCATACTCTAGACAGCATGGAGATCCCAATATCGTTAACCCCGATATGTGACAAGTTGATTGAGGCACCTGGGCTGTTGGACGGACTAGGAGATAATCACCTTCTCACCGCCACAGTGGACACCATGACGAACACGTGGTTTCAAGTGCAGGGAGCTCGGCAAATAGTCCAGCCACATGGAGGCACCTGACCTGGCATGCCGCTAGCGGATTACTTGTTTGACAGAGCCTTTTCACCATTACAGTCGAGTATCAACGGGCGTTTGAAGCAGTTAAATTTGTTACCGACAGTTGAGCAACCACAGGTACATCCTCGAGCCTTTCGGCCACCTGAACCCCCTGTTGAGAGCGCAGTCTGGGGCCCGTCGTACGTCGACGATCTGGTCAGCCTGGCAGAAATCCCCAGGGCCGTCCAGTGGAAGGAAGCCGCCATCCAACTAGCCAGTGTCGCCCTCGACATGAAATACAAGATCCCATACGCGAGCAAACTATGCATACCACATATGTTGTACAATGCGTCGACGTCGAATGAGTTAACAGCCAAGCAGAAGGAAATGATCGATAACAATTTCTTCCTGCCGTTCCGTGCAGCAACTGGTTTACGATACAACGGGCAACATGATGATAACATATCTATGGCAAGGCTCATAACGTTCGCACGGCAGCCACCCGCAGCGCGCGTGACCCAGATGAGGAGACTACGACTACTGCATAGAGTGATTGACGTAGCGCCACCGGCCGTGTTGTCTGTGCTAGACGAGGCAGCGTTGATACCAGGCACATGGGCGAATCTAGTGCGTGAAGACTTGCAATTCGTAGCTAGCATTGTTACACTCCCAGGCGGGGAACGGCCATATGGTCCGCCAGCATGGTGGATCCAAATGGTTAGGGACCTAGGGTCGAGATTTTGGAAGCGTGTATGTAGGCAGGCTGAGAGGTTAGAATTTCGTGCCAAACTAGCACAAGCGGCGTTTCAGGCATGGATTGATGAAATCAAGTATTTTTGTAAGTTGCACGGCCAGGCACTCCCCTCCTTCGTGCTGCCCCCCCCCCCCCTACTTGGGCCTGGACGTGCGCCGAGTGTGAGCTTGTGTTCACATCCAAGGCCTCCTTGTTGAGCCATCGCAACAAAGTGCATCCCACACTTGAGGCGGCTAGCAACATTGCGATGGGCTCGTGTTTGCACGACTTTCATTCACGGCTTCGTCTAATCAAGCACTTCAGGCACGGTGCTAAAGCGTGCCTAGCCAACTCACTGGCAGTGTTGAAGCCCATCTCTGATGAGATGCTCAGACAGTTCAAAGTAGAGGATGCCCTGGCCTCGCAACAGCTGAGGAGACAGGGCTACTATGGGGAGAAGGCTTCCCTCCCTCCGATGCCATTTGCTGGACCCAGCTTGGAAGGCGCGGCGCTGGCGCTAGGGTACGACCCTGTGGCCCCGTCGTCTTATGTCAGGCCTCTCGTCTTGGAAGTTGAGCCGCCCCAGGCCATCTTTTGCGCACCTGCACAAGGCGCACCATGCTTCATAGTGCACGTTGGTGTCGATGCTGTGCGCTCGCATTGTGATTTCCAAGCGCGCCTTGAAGCTCGTGCGGCAGCTGCGGGACGGACACTCGTTGTATTGCAGGTCTCGCAACGTCAGGCCGCATCGTACCAGGACCGCTGTCTGCTCGTCAGTCTCATTTTTCAGGGCAGGGTGGCCGCGACCGTGGCCGTCCCACCAGCTCAGACATGGGTGCAATGTCAAGACCCAACCCCCAAGCCTACCAGAACACTCGACTGGCCATGGGGATCGCCGCATGTGAAGGAGAAGGGGCAAGAGTTACTCCAGACGGAGAACTCCATGCTCCTGCTAGTAGTAACGCTCGTTTATTTCGCCAACGCCTGTCAATTATCATGTTGCTTGTGCTTTCCTCGCGTGCGTGTGTCATGTTACTCACCCTCTCCTTGGGAAATCCCCGAGGTGCGTGAATGCTTGACCTATACCAGGAAGACCAGGTGTGTCTCAGGCGGATCGAGTTTTACGTTTCATTCTGCATACATGCCAGGGTTCCCAGAAGACGGAGCCGTCGAGTGCGTGTATGAATTTCTTGTTGAGACAATCGTTGACGCTATTGCGTTTGCACAAGGCGGCGATGTGCGCGACGAACCGCCCTCGGATGTGCTCGCACGTTTTTACGTGCCCCTTGACCCATATGGGTCGGTGGATGAGCCCTGAGGATGCTGTACCAGGCCTCCCGTGCTCGGTCTCTCTTTCTTGTGCATGTATGTTCGCTACGACTCATGGTCTTCAGGTCTGTTCGCAGGAGGACGAGGAGGAGGACAAGCCAACGTGATGAACGCTGCGCTCTAGTGTGTCGCGGCTGCTTTTCCGCCCCCCCGCCATAGCCTCTCGAAGAACAGGTCCTCCGAGGGGGGAGGGGAGATGGGGAGGAGGGGGGGAGGAGGAGGAGGAGGAGGAGGAGGAGGAGGAGGGAGAGGAGGAGGAGGAGGAGATGAGGATGAGAGGAAGAGGGAGAGGAGAGAAGGAGGAGGAAAGAGGGAGGAGAGGATGGGAGAGGAGGAGGAGGAGAAGAAGAGGAGGAGGAGGAAGAGGAGGAGGATGAGGATGAGGAGGAGGAGGAAGAGGATTGGGAGGAGGGGGCGGGGGCGGCGCCTGCAACGCCTGCGCCGCTGGGTCCAGCGGCGCGTCCTCGGCGGGGGGCACTGGGGGCTCGATGAGGAGGGCGACCAGGCGACAGAGAGCGAGGAATGCTGAGCTGAACGAGGACGACGACGACGAAAAGGACCACGAGGATGAGGCAGAGGTGGACGAGGAGGATGAGAAACACGAGGTGGAAGGGAAGGTCGGGAGGATGAGGCAGAGGTGGACGATGAGGGAGACTCGAGGGAGAAGATTCTGATAATGAGGTGGAGACAGAAGCGGTTGACGAGGACGGGGGCAAAAAGGATGAGGACGAAATGAAGGACCACGGAACCACCACAACAACGCACACGCACCACTGACACTGCAACACGCCCTTCTTTGGGGTGGTTCCGAGATGTCGCGGGCCGCTTGGATGGCCCGCTGAGGGCGTTCGCTGACGATCTGGGGCGGCCCCAAGGCGGTCCCGGGCCCTGCCCGTGCCCCGGGAAACGCATTCGTGGTAAAGGTCCCGGCCCCCGGCCCCCGGGGCTCGGTGGGTCGCTATGTGTGCGTGTGTATAAATATCGTGATTCATGCAGAAAGCGCGCCGCAAGCGAGAACAGACACCGTGTCATCTATGTGGTGCACTCCCCTTTGACCGTCTTGAAGCTGTCCTCTCCACTGCTCGTGCAAACATCCCACCCTCCCACCCGCAACTTGGTTTGCAAAACCTTTTCGACCGACTACGACGACACCGACGACAACGACTAGGACGACACCGACGACGTCTCCGACGACTTCGACGACGACAACGACGCCGACGCCGACGGCGACGCCGACGACGCCAACGAAGGCGACGACGAGGGAGGAGGAAGGACGACGACGGCGACAACGAAGACAACGACGACAACGACGAGGGAGGAGGGAGGACGGCGACGACGCGAACGACGACGAAGGAGGATGGACGCTGACGCCGACGACGACAACGACGAGGGAGGAGGGAAGACGACGACGACAACGACGACGACGACGACGACGGCGACGAAATAGGAGGGACGACGACGAGACGCCGACGACGAACGACGACGACGACGTGGGAGGAGGAGGCAGGACGACCACGGCGACAACGACGATGGAAACGATCACGACGCCAAAGAGGACGACGACGACGAACACGAGGAAAGACAGAGGACGACGTAGGCGACGACGACGACGACGACGCGGGAGGAGGGAGGACGCGACGACGACGACGACGACGCAAGAGCGCGCGCGCACGCTTTTGTTGAAAATCCGTGTTGCGAAACCTTGGGTTTTTGTAGGTTTTTTTGGACGCGCGATTTCGAAATCCTTCCGAAACCGACAGGTTTTGAAGGATTTCGGCGTACGCGCGCGCCGTCGCGCGCGTCAGCACTTCGTCTCATTTTTGGAAGAGAATTCTCGCGACGGCACACGCGCAAGGGCGTTCGACAGATTTCGACATGCGCGCGCGACGCCCGTTTGGTAGCAGTTTGTGAAGATCTTGAAAAACCCATGGTTTTCTTCAGATTTCGCCAGAGCTCGCGCGGAATATTTTTTAGCAAATCAGTGTTGCGAAATTCTGTGTTTTTGAATGTTTTTTGGAAGCGCGATTGCGAAATCCTTCCGGCACCGAAGGTTTTTGAAGGATTTCGGCATGCGCGCGCGACGACGCGCGCGTGCGCACTTCGTCCCATTTTCTGCAAGGGATTCGTGAAACAAGTGTTTTGTTCGAACAACAAATGTCACCGCATTGTGTTTTTTTACAAAGGAACCTCTGGGGGGGATACCGGTTTGGCTGGGATGATATGATTTCATATTTAGGATGAACGAGTGTGCAGAGTACACATATATATATATATATATATATATAGAGATGAGACTATACTACCCCAGGGAGAAGCGTTAAGTCTGGGGGGGGTATAATCTATTCTCTTCTTAGAAAAAGGAGAATATATTTGGTGGATGTTATTGTAAATCGCAATGAAATTTGAGCCCCACGATTCGCGCTATCATCCCAGCCACCCACCCGCAACTTGGCGTGCAAAGTGCATGCGGTGGCGATTGCGACGAGGTTTTGGCGTTGGCTGGTCCATCTCTGCGGCCGCGCCAACCCAAGCACGCGCGCGCAGCGGCCAGCTACTTTGGCGCAGCCGACGCGGCCGCGGTGGCGCTGACCGTTGGGCACATCCCAGCGGTTGAGAAACTTGAAACCTATGGCTTCTCCAAAGAATCCGCTAAAGCGCAATCGGAGGCTATTTTGAAAACGGATGCTGCGAAACTCTGTGATTTTTTGCATGTGTTAGGACACTCGGTTTCGAAACCGTTCCGGAACCTACGTATTATGATGGATTTCGGCACGCGCGCGTGCACTTCGTCCCGTTTTGCGCAGAGGATTCTAGCAACGGCGCGCGCGCAAGTCGTTCGAACGATTTCGGCATGCGCGCGCGAAGCCCGTTTGGTAGCATTTTCTCAAAATGATGAATAACCTGTGGTTGTCTCAAGAATTCGCAAGGGAACGCGCGCAAGTGATTGATTTTAAATCCGTGTTGCGAAACCATGTGTTCTCTAATGTTTTCGTGCGCTCGGCTTTGAAGTCCTTGCCGAACCGACGGTTTTTGAAGGATTTCGGTGCGCGCGCGACAGCGCGCGCGTGCACATCGTCTCATCTGTTCAAAAAAATTGTTGAAAACTGATAATTTGTTGGAAACGAGTGCGCGCATAGAATTCGTCGCAGAAGATGGCGGGGGGGGGAGGCGATGTAGGCCCCCCCCTGGGATGGTGTAAATTTTGGGTTCGGATTGACGACGGAGCAGAATAATGTAGACTGCAAGTCGACACGGGGGGCGGATAGTCCCGGGGGTGGGGGGCGGATCTATTCTCTTCTCAGAAAACAAATCAATGTCCTTTTCTAAACCTGCGCGGTGCATTTGGCATTGCGCAATATACGCTGTGCCCTCTAATTGGTGAAATCTACGCCGCGCAATTCACCCCCGCCCACCCGCCCGAAACTTGGTTTGCTAAATCCATGCGGCGGCGACTGCGATGAATGCTTCGCGTTGGCCGGGGCATCTCTGCGGCCGCGCTGAACCGCGCATGCCCGCGCGCGCAGCGGCCGGATGGTTTGGCGCGACCGACGCGGCAGCGGTGGCGCTGACCGGTGGGCACCGCCCAACGGGCACTTCAGTGCGAGTCGGCGGCTGGGGCGAGCGCGGCATCGTGGCAACATCGACAATGGTGGACGCGGTGATGGTAGCGACGCCGGTGCGAAGGGTGACAAAGACGACGGCAAAGCCAATGGCGGCACCGATGCTGATCGCGCCAACGACGATGGCGGTGTCTCCGCGTCGTCGTTGAGGGATCTGGAAATACTTCGACATGCGCGCGCGGTCGACGCGCGAGACTGGACCGCGCCGCATCATGCGACGCGGATCATGCGACGCGGATCGTGCCCCAGCACGCGCGCAAGGGCGCCCGAATGAGTTTCACATTCGCGCGTGGGGGGCTCGCGCGACCGAATTGAATTAACATGTTGCAAATCCATTGCTTCCTTGAGAATTCGCAAGAGCGCGAGCGCATATTTTTCTTCGGACTGATGTTGCAAGACAAGACACTTCAATATAGTTACAGGACACTCTCGATTTTGAGATATTCACGGACTCCCGCGGTGTCTAGGAACGGATTTCGGCACGCGCGCGCGACGACGCGGGCGCGTGCAGTTCGTCGGGGTTCTTGCGGCAGCACGCTCGCAATGGCGCGCGAGCGATTCCGACGTGCGCGCGCGAGAGGCCTTTTTGGTAGCATGCCATGAACATGTCGAATCACCTGTGGTTCTTCAGCAGGCGCGACTGTTGTCTACGCGCAGTATGCGCGGTGCCATTCAACGGCTGCGACGGGCGGCGACGGCGCGGCGACGGGGCGGCCGCGTAGCCGCAGCGGTTTGGGACCCACGCTAGCTAACACGTGCACGCATTTTAATACATATATATATATATACATACACACTCACTTGTTTCGGAGATAATCCATTTTATCGGGTGGAGGGGGGAGGGAGGTGCTGGCCAATAACCTAACCTTTTCGCTTTGGGCAGCCCCACGTGTGCCCGCGCGCACCAGTCTTGCCTACCCCCCTTCAGACCTGCGCAACTGACACACTCTGGTTATCACCAGGAGGGGGGGCGGGGTTGCCCGATAACGCGGGGTTTCGCCGGACCCTTTAAAAGCAGTCGTCGTTGTCGTCGTCGTCCTCGTCCTCGTCATCATCGTCGTCCTCTCCGTCGTCGTCCTCCTCGTCGTCGCTAGTGACAATCTCCCTGCCCCCCTCCCTCATCGCTACGCGATCATGCGGAGCCTGCAGAGCCTCGTCGCCTCCCCCCCCAAACATCCGACGCCCTGACTCTCTCAACACCACGTCCCCGCCGGCCAGGACCTTCCCCCCAGGGCCGGCTCGTCCTGCCGACTCTCTCATCAGAGGCGACGATAGGGGCGAATAGCCCAGGGGAGAGCAACACGTGTACGCAGGGGCGCCGACGATCTATGTCTTCGACGGGGCTCCCGGGCGAATACGTGTAATGCCAGCCCCTGGGCTATTCGCCCTTATCGTCGCCGCCGAGCTCTCTTCTGCGGTCCCGGGGCCCGGCGCGGGCCCCCAGGGGCCCCAAGCTGAGTCTGAGGAAAACCTCCGCCTCTCGTTCCTCGAGACGTTGGAAAAAGTCTGAGTCCCTCCCCCCGCTCCCACAACCCTGCCTCCCTCCTCCTCCCTCACTCTCCCCTGCCGCCCGCGCCTGCCGACTTCTGGGTCGGTCAAGAGGGTCGAAAATCAGCCCCTGGACATGTCCAGGGGCGCGATCCGGGCAACATTTCGAGGCGGAGTGGGCCGTGGCTGCGAGAAGCCCCCCCGCGCCCAAAAAAGAAGCCAAGTATCGCAGAAAAGCTCAAAATTCGATCTGGCACGCCCGAGAGAGGACCGGGAAGTCTCGAAACGGTGCCCAACAGCGAACGTTGTCTAAAACCGGCAGCAGCAGCCGTTGAGCAAGGGACGCTCGTCCCAAATGGACGACCTCTGCGGCGGCACATACAGCGAATCTGGGTAAACACGGCAAGGATACAGTGGAGGCCTAGTCCACAAGAAGCCTTCCACAAGAAACCCAACCCTGAGACCCCCGGACCTCCATGAATTTTTGAAGTTGGAAAGTCACGCTTTCCATCGCAAATCCATCGAAAACCAAAAAACCCAGGGCACCCAGGAGACAGGCAGGGGTTTCTTGTCATGGGCCTCCACTGCACAGCGATCACGGATAAAAGCGGCTAAGAAATGCTGTCAATCGCCGTTCCCGCTGTCGCGAAGGGTGGCGGACCCAGCCACGGCCATACGAACATCCCATCCCCGGGAGCCCAACAACGCCAGACGACCGCCCCAAACGACGGGGAGTGGACGTGCGAGCGATGGCGAGTCTTCCACGCCATGGTTCGGGGGGGTTCCCACCGAAGGGGGGGGGTCCTCCTCATTCCGAACCTGCGGGCCGCAATCCGTGCACTCGCAGGCCCCCATTGTCATCCGATCCCCTCGATCACGCTGCTCGTCCTCCATCTCGGCCGCCCCAGACCCAGAGCCCCTCGATCCTGCTGTTCGCTGCTCTCCCCTCGACCCTCGACCCTAGATCCTGCTCCTCGGCCCCCCATCCCCGCGCGCCCCTCGACCACTGCTGCACTTCGGCCCTCGGCCCCCGACATCGCCTCGGCCCATCCCCGGCCAGGCCGCTGCGCCCCCCCCCCCGCTCCCCCGAGGCGAGGCAGCTGCCGAGCGTCCTGCAGCGCGCCGAAGGCGCCGCCGCCGCCGAGGGCACCAATCACGCTGGGGGACGGAGGGGGGGGGCACCTCCTTCTCATCCTCCACCACCGTTAGGGCTGCTATTTCGCACCGGCCTGCTCCACAGCCTCCTGCTCCTCCTCCCCTCCCGCTCCTCCTCCGCCGCGGAGCTCGAGGCCGCGGGAGTGCGTCACCGATGCGGTCGAAGCCCTCGAGGCCGCTCTCCCCTCTGCAGCGCCAGAGGGGAGAGCGCGACAAACACCAAGAGGCGAAGAACTGGAAGCAGGGGAGACGGACGATCATCTGATCAAGAGCAACGTGCCTGACCGTCTACATTTGGGTCGGGCGTACCCCCTCCCTCTACTGGGGGATCTTGGACGAACAGGAGAAACTATTAACACATAGTTCAACAATCATCAACAAAAATCGTTACCAGACTATTGTTTGCCTATTTTTGAATAGACCTCCCGTGGAGGGACAGAGTGTGCGCGTGGGTGCGGCCCGAGCGTGGCCCCCCCCGTGGACGGGCCGAGACCCACCTCGCCAACCACCTCCTCCTCCTCCTCCTCCTCCTCCTCCTCCTCCTCCCTCGCCACCCACCTCCTCCTCCTCCTCCTCCTCCTCCTCCTCCTCCTCCTCTTTCTCCTCCTCCTCCTCCTCCTCCTCCTCCCTCTCCTCTCCCTAGCCATTTTGGATAAAGGTTGCGGCAGGCCCCCACGGACGCGGTCGGGCTCTCCTCTCGCCATGGGGCGCGCGAGAGATGGCATCACGGTGCTCTACGACCCCTCGGTGGCCCTCCTCCGCGATGTACAGGAAGCGGCGTGCTTCATGCAGCTGCTCAGTGGCGGGTGCTCGCACTGCGACCCGAACACGGACGTCGAGGCTATCTTGCACTCGGCGGGCGCGACCCTTGGGCTCGGCACCACGGCCAGCTCCGAGGACACTCGGCAAGGGCTGCGACTTCGGGGACGTGTGGACCTGTCCAAGGAGTGGGCGACCGCGCGTCAAGGGCGGCGAGCGGCGGCGCATCGGGACGGCCGCCTGGAGCAGCGTGCGCTCGCGGCGTTGGCTACCCCGCCGCGCCGCCTCGACCGGGCGGTCCAGGAGAAGCAGAAAGATACGGATCCGTACGACAACGTCCGCACAGTGGCGGAGGAGAAAATCGGTTTCGACGCCTACGTCGAAGACCTGTCCAGCGTGGACAGCACGGGGCCGAATGAAGGCGCCTTGTGCGAGAAGCCGGTCACGTCTAACATGGACCTCTTCCTGACCTTGGAGAAGATGCAGCAGCAGATCGACGTGCTGAAGGATGTGCAGGAGTCCCTGGCGCGGAAGTCCACCGTGGAGGCCGAAGAGCAGGCCTGGCATGTCCAGACCTCGCAGGAAAACAAGATGGTGGAGAGCGTCGCGGACGGCACAGACACCATCACGTACACCTCCACGGACGCATGTTCTGATGAGGCCACGGCGGCCGCCCAGGAGCTCGAGAAGGTGCTTCAGGTCGAGGACAGTGCGAAGAGTACCGAGAAGGAGACCGAGGATATAGCCAAGGAGGAGAAGAAGCAGGCCGATGCGACTAAGCAGTCCGAGGAGAGGCCTGTGGCGCGGGAATACCCCCTCGGTGAATGCTCCACCATGTGCAAAACACCCTCCGCTCCGCCCTCTGCTGCAAAACGAACTCGGAACGGCAACTGGCCACGAGATCGCCAAAACACCGGCTGGCTCGAGGCCTGGGCCCCGTCGTTGAAGCAGGAGCGCCCAGAATCGAATCGGATCGATCGGTCGGATCAACGAGAAACGTGAATCGGATCGGCGGAAGTCGGCAGCAGAGTCGGGAAAAGTCAAATCGGCAGAATCGGCAGGCTTGTAGGCCTCCTTTGAGAGATCGGAAGCCACATCGGAATCCGGAATCGAATCGAATCGGAAATGGAAGCACTCGAAGCCGGAATCGAAATGAGCCCTGCGTTGAAGCCCCGACCGGCGCCATTCCGCCGCTTGTGAGCTCCGTTTAACCGATCCCCATCCCCAGCGGCGTTGCCTGGGCCCCACAGGCCGATTTTCCCCCCTGGATGGGGATATGGGCCGTTGCCTTCGAGCTTCGAGTGGCAGATCCACCAACTAGGGTGGTGGGATGGCGGGGATCTGGACGGGGATGGAGAAAGGGATAAGGATTATGTTGTTTCCATCGTACTGAAGGACGACATCCCAGAAACAATGTCGAGCACCCGGAAAAGTGTCGAAACAGTGTCGAAACACTCCCAGAGCCCGACACGTGAAAACCCTCGAGTCCCACCAGCCCTCTGGGCGTCGGTGGTTTAGGGCGTTTCCTCTTCCACCCCTCCCTCTTCCCCTTCGGGGAGGGGTTTACCCCTCCCCTTACCCCCTCCCCACTGACCTGGACAGGAGGGGCGGGGAGCGGTCAGAGCGTCCAAAACGGCCTCGGCGAGGAAGCCAAAATCATTGATTTTACTATGGTTTTGGCCCCATTTTGGCCTTCTGAGGGGGCAGCGCTAATTAGAGCTCCCCTCTTCTTTGATCGATTTCCTCCACGATGGCCGCAAGAGGCCCCCAGGATGCCCCAAGAGGCCGCAGGATGGCCCCAAGAGGCCCCCCAAGAGGCCCCCAGGACCCCCAAGAGGCCCCAAGATACCCCCCAGAGGCACCCAAGGGGCAAAGATGGCCCCAAGAAGCGCCCAGGAGGCCCCCAAAGGCCCCAAGATGGCCCCAAGAGGCCCCAAGAGGCCCCCAGGAGGCCCCAAAGAGGATCCCGAACGGCCCACAGAGGCCCCCCCGAGGCACCCAAGACGCCGAAAAGCCCCTCAGGACGACCCTCTACTCGCCTGGGCGTCGTTTCTGGACGGGCTGGTGGGGATACGCGAAACGTCTAGAATTTCGGTACTTGTTTTGTGCTCGAACTTCCTTCTGGTTATCAAGGCTAAAGTAGGTTGGAACATCATAAGATAGGGATCGGTGAAACGATGCTGAGCTTGCCGTCCCCGTGGCGGGGCAGGGCCTGAGGAGCGAGTTCTGCTGCTGCTGCAGCGCGGCGCCCGGGAAGGAGCCCATCCTGCGGGGGGGCGCGGAGCACGGCAGGGAGGGAAGGAATCGGAGCGATTCTGCGAAGGACTTAGGCGACCCGTCCATCTCCTCCTCCTCCTCCTCCGCCTCCTCCTCCTCCTCCCCCTTCTCCTCCCTCTCCATCTCCTCCTCGACTCCTCCTCCTCCTTCTCCTCCTCCTCCTCCTCCTCCTCCTCCTCCTCCCTCCTC